CTGAAGGCTTTTCAGTGAGTTTTTTGGACATCCTGATAATAATGAATTACAGTCGTCCAGCCTGGAAGTAATAAAAGCATGAACTAGTTTTGGTAATGGTATGGTAATAGAAAGAGGCTGTTATTTCTGATTCCATTCAAACTGCCATTTTTTCATCTTCTCCCATTTGTTCCATAAAAGTTACAACATTATGCTGTATTGCCATCATAGACCATATATAAAAGCTGGACATTGTGATGTCATCCATTGGGTTTGAGCTTCACATACTAAAGACACCATATTAGCACAGTAGGGTGGAGTGCAATGTTATCAGCGGATACCACCATGCTTAGTTAGCTAGCCGCATCCACAAACTCTGTGTCTGTAACACACAGACACAAATCAGTACTCAGTAAGACAGTAGTTAGTACTACTAAAACATTAGTAGTACTAACTAATCATTCACATCCATAGTCTTCACTGGTATCTGCTTTGAGCCAGTGCACTCAACCCTGTGGTGACCAATAGGTGACTGGTGCTTGTGCTTACTATCAGTATCTTTGTCTCTCCACCAGGACAAGACGCTCTCAACGAATACCTGAAGACAAAGGCAGTGACCATTGAGTATTAGGTGATATCACAGGAGAAACAAGACCGTAAGAGGGCAGACTCAGGTAGACATGTGGACATTGCTAGAGAAACACACTGCGATACCAGGATGTTGGCATTAAAAGTGTACGTGCCTTAATATGCTAACTGATAAGTATGTCTAACATGTTGAATAATCAGTAACAGAGCCTTGAGCCACACTGTAATGAGGATTGTTCTGATCTACACAAATGGTGAATGGTAGCTCAGTGAGTGGACTGTGATTTAACTAAAAGGGTTTTTATTTTAATACATCTTTAATTTCTAATATGGCTTACATTAGGTCAGAAAAGTCTTGCAATGTAACATTTCCAATAACAATTATTGGTTACGAATTAAAACTGCTGCACAACCAACATCTGCAGATTGATGTAATTCTTCTGTGTTCAGTCTTTTTTTTTTTTTAAATATAACAAATGTAACGTCTGGATTTTGAGGAACCTTAGGCACATTACATTTATTTTGATTAATGCACTGTACATGATTGTCTACAGAAAACATGTCATTTTATTCAGCAACATCTTACATGCATTTTAATGCCTGAAAAGCACATATACACTTTCTTTCAACAAAATACATCATTAGATGTTTATTTAAAGGATCTCATTCACTCAAACAGCATCCCTGCATCATCTTAAACCATTTAATTACATTTAAATATGGTGTTTTGATGGCGTTATGGAAAGAGGCGGTTGGGATTAGGGCTATCGTTTGTTAGAAAAAGATAATTTTTGCAGTTTTTCCGCCTTATACCACCATGGTGGATTTTTAAATCAATCAATATAGGATTTTGATTTAATAACAGACATTTAACAATGATGGATTACCTGTGTTTTTCATAGTCCCCCATTTTTAGAGGCAAAACTAACTTAGGTGAGGTTAGGTCACTTCCCCCGATACTCTGTCACAAATGAGGAAAACACATCATAAGTTGATTCAAGGTGTTGAATTTGGATTTCATAGATTTTCATTGTAATTTTAGTTCAAAGATGTGGTTTAAGAAACTTCACATCTAACAAACTTAAGAACACTCTTGATGAGGTAGGTGTGTCACTGTCGAGGTGATCAATGAAAACACAGAGCGTTTACCACAAAGTGCTAAAAGAACCAGCTCTCTATTGTGTGATGATGGGACTGCTGATAGAAGTAGTAGCTGACAGGATGCACTTTGAAGTGTACAGGGCTACAATCTGTGCTCAGATTCAGCCAAATGCTGCAAAACTGATTGTGTCACAGTGCAAATTGATAATGACCCAAAGTGTATCACTAAAGCGACGCTAGAATTTCTTATTAGTAATGTCTGACTACTTGTCAATTCTCAAATTACTTCTGGGCCTCAAAAAATCGGGGACTATGAATAAGAAAAGAAAGAAAGAAAGAAAATAAAAGGCTGTAATTCTTAAACAGTTAATGCAATACTTTTGTTAAACCCCTTGTTTTAAAGCTAAACGTCTGCACTTCAATCACACATTCTGACTTAAACAGCTGTGTATATCAGCAAAACTACAAAAACGGTGTATGCCCCCCAAAAACTATGGACCCAACTCTGACCACTAACTGTGGTGAAAGGGGAGCATGCAATTAAGTATGATAATGTTTTTATTACATTAAACGTTATATGTGGGAAAACCTGTAGAATATGGAAATCTACGCTACAACAAATTGAGGTGCATTTGTGTCCTTATTTTATAGCAGTATAAGTCAAATGTAACTGCAAGTTTAACTGATTAGAGTACTTTGAGAGGGATCTTCAAACTGACAGAAGTAACTCACAACAGACAGATGACAGCTTTGCTCAGGTTCTTATACAGGCTCAGGTTTAAGAAGATTCTTAGATCTTTACTTCATGTTATTAATGCTTATTTTCTGTACAGCACTTTGTTCCTGTGCTGGGTATTTTAAAGTGCTTTATAAATAAAATTGGATTGGACTGATATCATTTTTTCAAACAAATGCTGTTTACAATGCAAACATTTTAGCGATTGCCCATGTTCCATTCAGTCAATCATTGGACACACTTATACCTCATATACTGAGAGAAAAAGCATTGAGGTAGGAGCTACCACAGAGTTCAAAGAACTGCACTCATCCTCAGCTACACGAAAACATTTGAATTCTTCCAACAGCAACATTGAAGACTTTCCTACAGTCCATAAGAACCTACAGGCGAGAAGCAGGGCTCACACAGACGGTAAACGATCGCTTCCGTGACTTTGGGGGCTTCTCCTTAACGCGCTCCCGGAATAGGGCTCTGGAAGACCCAACCAAAGCCCTATTCCGGGAAGCATGTTTAGCAAAATCTGAGTTTAGAAATAAAGTGAGTTGGTTAAATTTGATGTCAATAACTCTGGGCTTCTCATTCCAGAAGAGCTGACCAGTTAGTTCAATACAACTGTGAGTATGTTCAGGATGGGATTGAGCACATTTATGAGTACAGAAAGAAAACCATCATCAGTGGAGCTCTGACACCAAGATTCTCCAAGAAAGCACAGCTTCACTTCGAATCCAGTGGACTGAGGAATATCACTGTGTCAGTGTGGATCACGATGGCTATGTTAAGAAGCAGGAGGGGAGAAGAAAATAAAATATATATATAGCTCACAAAATTGAGTACACCCTCACATTTCTGTAAATATTTCATGGGACAACACTGAAGATATGACACTTTGATACAATGTAAAGTAGTCAGTGTACAGCTTGTACAACAGTGTGAATTTGCTTTTACCTCAAAATAACTCAACATACAGCCATTAACGTCTAAACCGCTGGCAACAAAAGTGAGTACCAGCATTGCTGTAGAAGGCGTCAAAGGTCAGCCTGACAGTGGCTCAGACACACGCCACACACTGCATCACATGGCTGTCGTCCCAGAAGGACGCCTCGTCTAAAGATAATGCACAAGAAAGCCCGCAAACAGTTTGCTGAAGACAAGCAGACTAAGGACATGGATTACCTGTGGTCTGATGAGACCAGTGGTTGCAACACAAAATATTGACACTTTGAGCACAGTTTGGACATTTTCACTTAGGGGTGTACTCACTTTTGTTGCCAGCAGCTTAGACGTTAATGGATGTATGTTGAGTTATTTAGAGGTGACAGCAAATTTACACTGTTGTACAAGCTGTACACTGACTACTTTACATTGTATCAGTGTCATAACTTCAGTGTTGTCCCATGAAAAGATATATCTACATCTATGGATAGATATATCCATGTGTATAAAAACAGAAAAACCCTTGGATTTATAGTGAGGAAATAACCCTCGTGACTGACTCAGAACTGAAGTCGACTCTGGAACGGAAACTCAGGGTTAAATAACTCAGAGCTGTTAGCTAAAACTGTTTTCTGAAACAGGGCCCTGTTGATACCCTTAAAAACAGAACAGGCTGTTCACACAAATGAACACACTAAAATGATGTTATTAATTATTTTAGAGAGGTTCGACATATTAATGCAGCTATATTAAAAACATCCAGGACCCCCCCCCCCCCATAACATGTAATATTATGTTGCTCTTGTGAGACACTTTGTAGGCCTGCTTAATGTCAAAAAATATAATTCATTGGGAAATCAAATAAATGACAAAGACACTTTCATCTGGTAGAAGACTGGGCAGCTTCTGGTGGCCCACAGCCTCAACTGAGATGTCTGACCATGCAGACAGGTATGAATACATCCAGGCAGCAGCAGACTCGCTTATTTTTAATATTTATGAAATGTGGTTTGTTTGAAATTGTGGTTTTTGCCTGACCCTTGCAATCTACAACAAGCATTTTGAAAATGCACTTTGCTCTATTAATACACACACACTCACCATCTCTTTTTTCACACTTAACCAAAAGGAAAAAAATTTATAATAGCAAACAAGTTAAACTCAGAAGTACTAGACCAAAGCTCATCCCGGTGGACTGAGTTTTTCACGTCTTTGTGTGGATCTGCGTGTGTCTCAGCATGTCCTTCTTGTATGCAAATGGTCTTGAGCAGATGCCACAGCGGTAAGGTTTCTCTCCCGTATGCTTTCTCATGTGAGTAATTAGATTACTTCTCTGTCTGAATCCTTTCTCGCACACTCCACATGTGTACGGCCTCTCTACTGTGTGGATCCTCATGTGCACTCTCAAACACTCGCCTCGTGCGAATCTCCTGCCGCACTCCTTGCAGCAGTGAGGCTTCTGACCCGTGTGGATCAGCATGTGCCTTTTTAAATGGGTCTTTGTGGTGAATGTTTTGCCACAGACGTGACACAGATTGTCCTCCTTGTGTGTTTCTATGTGCTGCAGCGCACAGTCTCCATGTGTTTTCAGGTGAATCATCAATGAATTCCTGTGGCAGAAAGATTCTCCACAGAGCTTACAACAGAAAGGACTTGTCCTTTTCTTAGTGCTTAAGCTGGAACTCTTCTGCTTCTGCTTTGCCTTTGTTTTTGGCTGCACTGTCTTTGAATTGGATGCTCTGCTCTCCATCCTTTCATTATCACAGGCATCATTTTCAGCCCCACTATCTGAGGAGATGGGCTGGCAGAAATCCGATCCTCCACATCCATCTGCTTCCTGCTTAATTTTTCTAGACTCTGTTGAGGCATGGGGGAAAAGCACTACTCCCTGTGTGCTTGCCACACTTTGGCTCTGAAAGCATGAGGAGGGGGACCCTGCGCTCTGTTCAGATTTGAAACAAGCCACAGCTTCACAGTGTAACAGATCCTGCAGCTGGCCTTTGTCTCCTCTCGGCCAGTGTTCCTGATTTACCAGAAAGTCTGCTCTCAGTGTGTCCTGCTTCACCAACAGCTGACTGGCCTGAGCATATGTTGTCTGTGTGGAGACCTCTGCTTCGGATACACTCACCTGGTGGGAGCCTGCAGACATGACAGGGAAAGATATGACACTGGCAAACATTTACAAAAGGCTTACTGTTTAAAGTGATAGACATGGAAGCTTGTGGTAAATGTTTTAATTCATGGCTAAATATATCATTTTACTTACAAAACTTGCAATGTTGACAAGTGCTTAGGATGCACAGCATATGTCCATATCATAGTCCAACGTGTCCCATACACTTGTGAGCATGTCTGGAGTGACTGCTGTTGTTATGCTACCTACCAGCAACCCATGAAGCTGGTAGGCAGCAGAACAATCACGTGTTAGAAAGAATCCACTCTTTACAACAGTGCGTGTTTTAACTGTAAATGGCTGCAGACTTAAAGCCTTTCTAGCTCTTCAGACTACCAAGAATCTCCACACACATCTGTAATATGTCAAGTCTTTTTGTTCATCTGAAGTCACATTTATCCAATTTTAAGACCTGCTAAGTATTATTTTTATTATTTCCCTGGTACGTAAACGTTTTTCCAAACATATCTTATAACAGCTTTCTTTACAAACCTTCTTTCTCTATTGCTGCTGTCCTTCAATCACAAATCAGACCCTTTAACCCATCTCCACCGACTCCACCCTGCCTGCACTCTCTTCTTCACCTCCCTTGTGAACTCTGTTTTGTATAGTTGACCCACATATTTAAACTTATCCATCTTCACTACATCTATTGCTTGCACCTTCACTTATCCACCCATCTCATTCTCTTTTACACACGGTGTTGCTTCTGTTGACTCTTACTCCTTTCCTCTATTTTCTTTCCTTCCATTTTCTGTAAAGCCCCTAATACAGAGTCATATATGCTTAAATAAATATATAGAAAATTGCCTAAATTAAAATGTTTACATTACAGCCTTTATGAAATTTGATATACAAATTAGGTTTAATTAATAGAGAACACCATGAACGCCTAAATATGTATTTGTGTCACTCTCTACTCTTCTGAACCTAAAACGGTGCATTTAACCGCTGCATGGGAAAAACGCTGTTTCTTATTTGGTTCGTCCGCCTTAAGAGAATCCGGGGGTCAGCTCTGTGACTGCAGTCTATGCTGACTGTAGTCCCAGGCTACACGCACATTAAAACGGGTCTGATGGCTGACAGCAGCCTGCTTATCTGCATGGTGATAATAGACCAACCTGCCGGGAACACCTCCTCCTCCTCCGCTTTCAGAGCCTCGGCTAGCGTTAGCAGCTCGTTGGGCTTCACATCTTCTGACTGGGACACAAAAGCTTTGTCAGTGTGAAACTCTAATATGGTTCTCTCCACGGCGCCGAAGATTTCCTCCGCTGCTGCTGTCAGACGCTCATTCACGAAGAGTCTGAGCTGCTGTAACTTGGACATTTTGGAGGACAAGAAGACGCGCTGGTCCCTGCGAAGAAGCGAAGACTTCTTCTCCTCTCGTAGACGGCGGCAGCCGCAGTAGCCGCTGTGGGGAGCTGCTGCCCTCTTCTGTTTAGTTGTTAAAATCTTTATTTTGGTCCCGGCAATACTTGCAAAACAATGAGTAAATATACAGTAAATACTAAACAATTCCACAAGGAAAATAGTCGATACCAACTAAGTATCTGAGCTAAATATATATTTTTTTAGTATTTACTAAAGTACATGTAACATGATGGACTAATGTCACCTCCATGTTTGTTGTGGGAAGTTGCACTGGTGGTTTTGTGTGCCACATTTGCTGTGATGGGGTTGGATTAATTGAAGGCAGGTGTATTTGAGTTCACTGATACTCTAGTCTACTTATAGTCCACACTACAAACACTGCTGTGACGTTTTGTCTCTCTGTGCAGGTGTGTCATCAAGATGACTTGATTTAAATGTGTTATGATGGATAGTTTGCTGCTCTGTGAATTGTATAATGAAGATGTGGTGACATCTTGTCTCTCTGTGCAGGCCTGGGCCTGCTGCAGTCTAAAGGCAGAGTTGGGTTGCTGAGGCTGGAGTGATTACTGGCCTTCTACTTACAGGGTGGTGAGACTTGGGGGACAACTGCTGATAAAGTGTTTGACACGTAAAGTCCAACTGACTTGATGCATCGCTGTCTATGGCCTTATATTATTATTATTATTTTTTAATCTCTTTTGCAAGTGGGAAACTGAACTGTGTTATCCTTCCAATTTTTGATCATTGCACTAATAAATTATCTTTTAGAATTTTATTGGTAGTCATCTTTTTCCCACGGCCGAGACGGTTGGTCAGACCTAGAACCTCTGTGTGCGTTACATACATTTAATTTATTCTCTTGGATAAACTGTCTAATATAAACTCAGTAACCGGATAGCAGGTATCTGGTATGAACTGAGTATATTTTACATTTAGTTTAGCATATTTTATTTTTTTGTATGTTCATACACTAAGTTTTCAAGGAAGTCACAGAAGAAACAGTCAAATGCTCTGATCCAGGTTCCTGCACATCCCCCAATACATTTATTGATGTGTATTATTTATTGTTTAGCCCTCTGGTGTGTGCATTGGGTCCTCTCTCTTGTGAATCATTGAACTGATTGTCCTCAGTATAAACCAAAGGTGTCAAATTCATTCCAGGTAATGTAGAGCACATTTCATGTTGAGTGGGTCGGACTGGTAAAGCTGTCCATCAGCTCGCTACATTTAGTTTATTTTAAATACACGGAGGCATTTAAGCTGCCGGTACATGTATGAACCACTCAGCACATTAACCGTGCGTGCTCCGTCTGTGAGCCCCACTGCCCTCTGCTGGGCGGCAGGTGAATCGCACACAGGGATCCATACCTAAACACAGTGTTTGGTTCATTTCAGCCCACTACTCATTATGATCACAGCACCGTGTTTCGCGTGAACAGCTCACTCGCCCATTTCATTGGTGCCCGCTGGAAGCTGGGATGGGCACCATTCTGCAGGAGCAAGTGGCACAGCGGTGTGCCGAGAGGGTTTCCAGCAGGGAGAGGAAATGGAAGAAGGATCTGTGGAGCATCGCCGGGCCTAATGTGGGCAGGTACCGCCAGATATGCTTATTATTGGGGTTACACGGTGGTAACGGATGAAGACATGGCTGCTGTTTGTTGCCGTGTCCTCGGCGGCGCCACAGACGCTGGATGTCGGTGGTGTGTGACTGCACTTTGATGTGTAAATGCTCACTGTGTACGTGTGTGAACAAAGAAGAGCGCCATGTCTGCCCTGTGCTGCTGTTTCTACATTTCATGTGTTTCATCGGTCACATTTAACTCGGAAGATTTGTTTGTTTCTCTCAAGTAACATAATGGGAAGGCGGCAGTCTCAGAGGAAGCCCACACCGCCGCAGCACGCGTTCCCAAGTCAGGAAAATAACAGCGAGAAAGTGAGTGAACGGGCTCGGATCACTGTATCACACACAAGATCAGTCAAATTAGCTGGTGTTCCAGTTCTGTTTTAAATGATGGTACATTAAATAGTGACTGCTTTCATACAAGATACAGAGCTGCTGTTAAAGTAACACCTACACGTTTGCAGTGAGCGTTGTTTACATCTCGCTATTTTTTCCTTTATTCCACATAATGACACATTTCTGTGGCACAATAGTGCACTATTTATATCAGGCAAAATGTCAACAAGTCTCAATTTATTACCATGGTAATGTTATTACCATGGTAATACCATTACCATGGCCATGTTTAAGTGATAAGTTGAACATAATGTGTCTGTAATTGCAGAGGCTGCAACAAAGAAGAAAGCACAAGTCTAACAACTTCTCAGCTAAACGCAATACTTCTCAACACAGGTGAGGTTTGTGCAAAGTTTGTGTTGTTCGCTGCTGTCTCAGTGCTCAGATAATAGCTTTGCTTTGCCTTTCAGCACTCACAGATCCTCAGAGTCAAAGGCTCTTCCAGTGTCCCCCACAGAGGGCAGGATGGAGCCAAAGGTGCTGCCGGTCACTAAGCGCTCCAGCCACAGACAGCACAAGCATGCGGGGAGCAGAGAGGGCAAACACACAGCAGCCGTCTCCTACCACTGCATGTGTGGTTGCAGCACTGAGCAGCTGGAAAGACACTTGCCAGAACTGGAGGTCAGACGCCTGAGTCGCCATGGAGAAGATGACAGCGACACCGACTTGTCTGAGTCAGAGAGACTTCCTGTGTCAGCCTGCAGTCGCGTTCCTCCTCGGCTTGAGCTCAGGCCAGAGGTCATCGAGGCCGAGGACTGCTCCTCTCGCAGCCACAGATCCAATTTGCAGGGCCATGGAGGTTTTGACTTCCCAGACTTCCTCCCTCCACCTTTTAATTCTTGGAGCCTGAGTCAGCTGGCTGTTTTCTACAACATGGAAGGCCGAGGTACCCCCCGGCCCAGGCCTGTGGGCCCTTTGGAAAGGTATCTGGAGAAGCTGCTGCAGCTGGAGTGGCGTCAGATCCAGACCGTCCAGGAGGAGAGCGGGAAGTCGGCAGTATCAGAAGTGATATCCAGCTGTCACAGGTCCCCTGCTGCCGCCACATCACGTCTCAGCTCTCCCAAGTGCATCCTCCAGTGTCAGCGTGCCTTCCCCCTCACTTTCCTCTCCTCCCTGGCTAGTCACTCCGCCCTCCTCTCCGGCTGCGCCTGCACTCTCTGCCGGATCCGCTGCTCCCGCTGTAGTGCGCCATGCTGTTGCTCGACTTACAGCCACAACCGCCAGTCCAGGCCGAGTGCTCCGCTAGAGCCCAAAATACTCCCGAAAAGGAGCTACAGCGAGAGCCGGGTGCACTCCTCAGACAGGGGCTCACAAGCCCAAAGGTTCAGCAGCCCTGTGCGGACCAACAGCCACCTGAGGAGAATGCAGGCATCAGGAAACATCCGCAACCCTGTCCAAGGTGCCGCCACCAGCCTTCAACACACTGCCAGCGACTGTAATGAGGTTGCCTGGAAGGGGGATGTGTGGGACTACAGGATGGGCGGGTTTCGGAGGAGGAGCGGCTCAGAGCAGAGGAGAGGTGGAGGAGACAGGAAACAGAACGGATGGGAGAAAAAACGGAGCGGCTCTGAGTGTAGAAAAGGAGGAGCTGAGAGGAGGAGAGCGGCTAACCTCAAAGAACAGGAAATAAAACCTGACGCTGTCACTGCAATAATAGACAATTTACCAGGATCCAAATATTCTCCTATACAGAGGCCAAGCAGGCCCAAACAGGTGGAGTTTGTCACATAACAGCAGGTGTAGTGATGAATGTGTAATCTGAATGTTACATACTGTCATCACCTTAAAGTTTTATTATGAATGTACAGTCAGCAATACTGTTCATTTGTTAATGTGATATTATTTCTCTGTGCTGTGGGGGATGTTTACACAGATATGGAAGAGAGCCGCTGGATGTCCAAGTTTGATAAGTTTGTGCTTTATTTAAAAGAACCCAGATAGCATCGTGTACTGTATGTGATCATATGATATGATTTTCAGCAATTCAGGTTTATTAGTCTTTTGAATGAAGCAGCAAACATCACCAAAAGTTATTAAAGAATACCAAACAGTCTTGTGAAGATGGTGTATGATGCTGAGCGGGGAGAAAAGGTGAATACTGGACTCGCAGGCTTACTTGTAGGTGGTGAGCGTGGGGTACAAGAGGTGTGTGATCGAGTGATGGTCCAACCTTATGTTTCCAGGAAACTGAGGGTGAGGGCAGGCAGGAGGGTGAGAGCGGAGAAAGGTTTAGTTTCCAAGAGGAAGGTAGCGATGTAGTGAGAATTGAGCCGCAGGTCACTTAAGCAGTGTTGTGGTGGAGAAACTGAAAACAGTTAAATCAAGGTTAGTACAGAACAGACATAAAGTTACAAAGCAGCGAGGCTGGGTTACCTCCATGAGGTAGCTGATAAAATCGCAGAGAGTTCATGTACCTCGCTGACTGGATGGCAGGTGAGCAGAACAGGTAAGGGACCAAGGCTCCGCCCACAAAACACCAGCCACTCAGTCAGATCATGACAGGGATTTCTTCTAATCTGGATCAGACTAAAGGATAAACTGATTAGATTGAATTACGCCTATGAAAGAAAGTGACACAAATGTCTGTTCAGATCATTAAACATCAAATGAAAAAACACAAGTCTGGCCATAACGTGGGAACAGAAGCAGATATTTTGAAGATGAGTCACTTTTGGTGCAACACGGAATCGGTACAGAAAAGATGGAGCTAACTTCCTCTGGATGTGAAAGGCTTACAGTTGTATGGATGTTAAACGTTATTACCTTGCACAAAAGGTAATGTGCACAAATCATTTTTGTTCTTAGCATCAATTTGAATCAATCTAAATCAACATGCTTGGCTTGCTGCTGCAGTCTGCATACTTCTACATTTCCCCATATGAGGAAACACATGTACCTCAAGGTGAAGTGGAGAAAACAGTAAGAGCCTGCAACACTAAAAAGGATGAGAGCAGAGGAAAGTCTGACTGATGAAGGAGATATTTGTGCCTGATGAGGA